ATTAATCTATCCTAAGCTTTCTTAATGGCACATAACAACTTACCGACCAAGCAGCAGATATACTGCAGCCATAGTTTAGTTAGGTTAGATTAGCTTAGGGCAAATTTCTATGTTTAAATTAAAAAAGATTCCTAATCATATATAATGCAACAAAAAAAAAAAAAAAAATCCAAAATGTTTTCCTGTGAAATTATAATTTTTCAGGAAAATTTGGTTATAAACCTGCTTATTACGCACTTTAGTTATTATAAGAGCTGGGCAATAAACTAAGTAGAGAAATAAAAGAAAATAGAACGAAAAAATATATGTTTAAGCGTCTTAGCGTAAAAAATCTAAGAGAAATTAATTATTTGTTGTAACCTGGGCACTTGGCTGCCCCCTGGAGTACAACAGGGTTTTCAAATGTATTATGTATCATATGTGATATGCAATATGCAATACAGTATTTTGGTGTAAGTGAAATTATTTATTATTCAACTTTGTGTGTGTGTGTTCATTGATATTTCAGAGTGTATGGGTAAAGCAATCACACTTGTTCCAACCACAGGTAATACAGGGCCTTATGTAAAGTTGATTATGTGCTTAGATAGTTTGCCAGCCCTTTGCAGAATCTTTGATGGATTTCCTAGAAAAGGACTGAAATAGAGTGTTTCAGAAAACATGGGAGAAAGTGCAGAGAAAGAGAGAGAGAGAGAGAGAGAGAGAGAGAGAGAGAGAGAGAGAGAGAGAGAGAGAGAGAGAGAGAGAGAGAGAGAGAGAGAGAATCACATCTAAAGCAATCTCAAGCGTCCAACAATAGCACAATCAAGAAGGGAATTAATTGAATCCTGCAACTTGCAGAGGCTTGATGTTGTGTTATTCCTAATTGACCCAAACCATTGATATTATACTGTAATAACTCACATGAGAAGGTTAACAGAACCGTTTGGTTTGGTCTCAAACTGGAATTAACAATGTTATGACTATTTCAGTACTCATTATTTCATTACCGCTAAGTGTAGAATATGTTTCATTTGCAAAGGCTTTCTTGATTTTTTTTCTCGAATTCTGACTACATGATATGGATCCCCTTCAATGGAAACTGCATTGGAGGGGATCCAAAATTTCCCTTTAATGCGTTATGTGTGTTTTTCTTCGAGGCTTAGGGTCCCTCTCCTCCAGCCAGAAGTGGTAAACGGAGTACGACCTCTGGCTGGAAGTACACGCACACACACACACACACACACACACACACACACACACACACACACACACACACACACACACACACACACACACACACACACACACATCCCCAGGAAACATCCCGTAGCAGTTGTCCAACTCCCAGGTACCTATTTACTGCTAGGTGAAGAAGTGCATTAGGGTGAAAGAAACCTTGCCCATTTGTTTCTGCCTCGGCCGGGAATCGAACCCAGGCCCTTGGGATTACGACCCCCCCGAGCGATGTCCACTCTTACGCCAGACCCACATGTTTGTGTGTGTGAATGCTCAATGAAATCACGATATTGTATCATGTCTGTGAGGAGATAGTGTGGCAATATGTGTTTCTGGGAGCCCAAAGATAGGAATTCACTCCAACCAATAATATTTTTCGAATTGTTAAATATATATTTGCTTATATTTCACTTACATACGAACTCGGCTCACGTCAAGGGAGGTCAAAGTGGAGCACTTGATACTATTAAGGAATTACTGTTGCTAACATTTTAACCCCGTTGAAATCAGAGAAATTAGATGAGTTATGTGTTCAGAGTCATTTTAATTCTGTCAATCCCTTTAATCTGCTGATGTAAAATGCATAGGTTCTGAAAATTCATGTAATTTCATGTTTTATTATTTCATGTTATTTATCGTCCAACTGTAAGTATGCATCGTGTTTATTTTCTGCTTCAGTTTGTTTTTTATTTGTCTCTGAACTTTCATAATGCATTTCGCACTGAAGGTAAGTTGTAAAACTTTTTATCTTTATGTTTTCTCTATCATAAAGAACATGTTAAATGGGAGCCTTGTGGTTTTATATTATAGAAAATGCAATTGACATTTATAATGATCAGTGTTATGACATTAATATTAAATTTTTCATATATAAATGATGTACTGACTTGAGAATGGTCCAGGACGGACCGAAACGTCGTCGTCCCTTCAACTTCTAGTGTGTGGTCTGGTCAACATACTTCAGCCACGTTATTGTGACTCATCGCCTGCATGGACCTTGAAAATTGTCTAAAATGTCATCTATAAACGTGTAACAATTTATGACATTAGTGAACGTGTAAACACTTCCACAGATATGAGAGATGACTTTTGGTATCAGTAACCTTGGTCAAATTGCCACGGGGGTTCTCCGTATCTAAAGTCAATCAATGCTATTAACGTCTGCCTTTGGGGAAGAGACGTCTGCAAATCGAGGCGAGCCTTAAACCTTGCTCCTGTATGATGTTAGTATACAGGGACGATGTGTACATACTGGGGTATGAAATTCTGTCGCTGCAAAGATTCAACAGTGTCCGTCGAGAGCTGTCTAGATTCGGGATTCACAGAGCAGTTACGTGTTCCCTTATGGGATCTGTGCCTCTTACCTCTATTATTACGACCTCTTGTGTGATTTTCCAGTTTGAGAGCTACGAAGCCCTGGTATGGATGATTCCCCTAGTGGTTCGAAGCCCTGGTATAGATGATCCTCTAGTGCTTCGAAGCCCTGGTATAGATGATCCCCTAGTGCTTCGAAGCCCTGTTATAGATGATCCCCTAGTGCTTCGAAGCCCTGGTATAGATGATTCCCCCTAGTGTTTCGAAGCCCTGGTATAGATGATTCCCCCTAGTGCTTCGAAGCCAAGGTATATATGATCCCCTAGTGCTTCGAAGCCCTGGTATAGATGATCCCCCTAGTGCTTCGAAGCCCTGGTATAGATGCTCCCCCTAGTGATTCGAAGCCTTGGTATAGATGCTTCCCTAATGGTTCGAAGCCCTGGTATAGATGATCCCCTAGTGCTTCGAAGCCCTGGTATAGATGGCCCTAATGTGATACATTAAATAACTATTAATCACATTCCATTACTGCAAATAGATGAAGAAAAGGACCTTGGAGTCAAAATCCAGCACTCACTGAAAGTTGCACAACAAGTAGGAGCAGCAGTCAAAAAAGTTAACCAAACCCTTGGAATAATCAAGCGTATCTTTGACTTTAATGACAGGAAGGTGGTGATTCAATTGTGTAAATCTCTGGTGCGGCCCCATTTGGATTACTGTATCCAAGCATGGAGACCTCAACTTCAGAAGGACATAGCTGCTCTGGAGAAAGTGCAACACCGGGCAACAAAAATAATTCCAGAGCTAAGTCATCTCACGTATCAGGAACGGTTGAGGCTAACAGGGCTAACAACACTTGAAACCAGGCATGACAGGGCAGAGCTCATTGAAACTTTTAAAATATTGAACAATTTGGTGGATGTTGATCCGGAAAGTTGCTTCAAAAGGTCTAATGTGATACAAACAAGGAGCAACGATTTCAAGCTCGACAAAACTACAATGTAGAACTGAGAACAGGAGATATTTTTTCACCCACACGGTTATAAACCCCATGGAACCGCCTTCCCGACGAAGCCGTAAATGCCAAGACTCTTTTTGAATTTCAAAATCAAACCGGAAAAAATGATCTAGGCAAGTGGGGGGGGGGGAAAGGGACCATCGACAAGCCGCCGGCTTCCTGTCCTCGTCGAGGCCACTATAGGGGTAGTGGTCCTCAGGTAAGTCACGTATTACAAAAGTGGTCAGAAAAATTGGGCTAATTGGATTTAACCGAGACTATTGCAAAGTTAAGATACGAACAGATGTTATAAGAGCTCTTCAATGGCTGAGACCTGAGAGTGAACATTTTTCCACATCTAATGTCAGCAGAAAATTCTCACGGAACGTCGGTAACGTATAACAAAGTAAACAGTGTAGGGAGAGGCTTCACTAGCCTGAACACACGAGCCTCGCCTGTGGTATATACTGCCGGCCCAGGAGAGAGTCTTATGAAACAAATGAGTTACAGATGACACAAAGACCTTCAGTGTTAGAACTATGGATCATTGATACGGTTGAGATGAAAACAATGTGAAACTAACGAAATAAATCATTTTAAATGTAAATGAGATCAGATAACCTAGAGAGAAATAAAAAATTAGAGTAATTTTATTAAACAATTTATGGTTTAAAACTCAGGGTTCAAGACCTGACTCTCGACTCTACAAACACATGTGTGAGTCCACCTAGGTGAGTCCACGTACACAAATACTTGCAGGTCATTGTATCTCTTATCGGGTTAAACGCAGTATAAAAAAAAAACTAACGATTGGAAAACTCAAGTTTCCCCTCCTCGGACGGGCTGAGTGCAAGAGGGTCACCTCCCTCCCTTCAGACACTCTTATAACAGAATCAATTAATTAACTCTTGGACGATGCTTGGGTCCTGGCAGATGTATGGCGGAGTTTTTTTTTTATCTTTATTAAAAAAAAATACAATATAAATTACATATACAAAAGTGTTACAAGGCAATTATACATTACAATTCTTAGTGAACAAGTTTTACAGTAGTACAGAACAAGATAATTAAAAAAACTGAATGATATACTTATTTACCTATAAACGATTTACAAAAATTGGAGAATAAATTTACATTAAAATACAGGGGAAATTATTACATTTATATATATTTTATATAATTCTCAGTAAACAAATTTTCCATATCATCACCGAGCATGAGCCGTAAACCCCAGGAGTTTGCTGTTATTCGGCGAGTGCCTCCGTCGTTCACGTGGGCCAGGATTCACCCCCAGACATTTATGCATCCCACTTACGACACCTGTGCATCTTTCCTTAATCATGGCGGCTTTGTTTACATTCATTAAACAGTTTACGAGCTTCGGAATTTCACAACCCGAGGTTATTATTATTATAAACAACCTCGTAGTGCTTGGGAGCTCATAAACTGCTTAATAAAAAAAAAAAGCTTGATGAATTCTGGCCAAGGTGGTATGGCTGCTCCCGTTGCACCAGAGGATGCTGCACTAGAGGATGTTGCACCAGAGGATGTTGCACTAGAGGATGTTGCACCAGAGGATGCTGCACTAGAGGATGTTGCACTAGAGGATGTTGAACCAGAGGATGTTGCACTAGAGGATGTTGCACCAGAGGATGCTGCACTAGAGGATGTTGCACTAGAGGATGTTGCACCAGAGGATGCTGCACTAGAGGATGTTGCACCAGAGGATGCTGCACTAGAGGATGTTGAACTAGAGGATGTTGCACCAGAGGATGTTGCACTAGAGGATGTTGCACCAGAGGATGTTGCACTAGAGGATGTTGCACCAGAGGATGTTGCACTAGAGGATGTTGCACCAGAGGATGTTGCACTAGAGGATGCCAACATCCTCTCCAGTAATGCATCGTATTTTGACGTAAACATCCCCAACCAAAATAATATGTATTAAATCATAGCGGCTCGCTATATTGGCTGTTGCATTTGTTATCAATGGGTCCATCAGCTCAGTTAGGTTCAGGCAAGTTAGTGCATCATTTTTGTGACGTTGTAGTTTCAGATTAGGTATTGTTAGTACTTTGATGATACTTTTTTTTTTTTTGGTCTTTCGAGGGGAATGTGTTGGCGAGGTAACGTTCTCTTGGCGGCAAAATCCACAACAAACAAAATAATGATGTACTGTAAATTATAGTGGTCCACAAACAAAGACGTTTTCTACGTGGGAATCCATTGTTTAGATCGACTCCATCGCTAAATTATGTACAACGTTTTTCTGACGTTGTGACAACTGGATAGGACGGGCTGGCTTGAGAACTGGTGTGGTAGCGTGCGTTGCGTCTGCTTCTGATTGGTTTATTCTTCGTACAATGAGGTTGGTCACCATTCCTTTCCCTCCGTCCCATCCCAAATCCTTATCCTGACCCCTTGCTAGTGCTATATAGTTGTAATGGCTTGGCGCTTTTCCTGATTAGTTGAGTTCGTACAATGACAAGTTTATTTGATAATGCAGAAGTTTCCTACGATGAGCCGCCTTCATGCCGAGCAGAGTGGGGGCGCCCCTACTGTATATTTGCTAGAAAATGGTCAGATGTAAAATTGTAAATTCTTTGGTATGGTTTGCATTATCTATGAATCTGCACAACTCATAGATTATGCAAGTTACCCACAAGCTCATGTTATATTTTGTCTATGTAAGCATCATCATTCTAATTTTATGTTAAATGTTTGGCCAGTACAAGTCCCGCTGCTCTAATTGTAAGCTCTAAGATTTTGTTTACACTGTTCACATGTTCAATCCAGCCACGACCGCAATGCTTTGTATAAAATTCTTAAGGATTTTAAGCTTATTCAATCTAAAGTATACTTGGTGGTTGGTCACTAAGCTGGTCTCAAGGTCTTGACGGCCCTTCGGAGAATGATAGACCTTGTTGTTGTTGTTGTTTAAGATTCGCTACCTGGAACAAAAAGTTCCAAGTAGCACGAGCTATGGTGAGCCCGAATGATAGACCTTAAGCCCAACACAAAACTACAAGCCAGTCGCGCTGACTGTTTCACGTTCAATTACTTTTTTTGCTTATGCTAAAATTGCTTTATTGCTGCAACCCATTTTTCGCCATTAGACAACCCTACAATCACTAACAATTACAGAAATAATAATATAATTCCCGCTGTTGGGGACAGGAAGCCTGTAGATATGTATACTTCAGTCACCAAAGGTCTCAGTGCTGACTTTCGCCAGGATACAAGCTCACAACAGTTCTTTAAATTCCCGGGTGTCATTTTACTTTTAGGTGAACAGCGGTATTAGGTGACAGGAAGCGTACCCAACCATTTCTGTCCCACCCGGGAATCGAACTCGGGATCCCAAATGGTGAGTCGAGCACAAACCCAACTGTATGTAAGCCAATGTTTGTCTACATCTCTGGCAGCCTACTGATGCAATGTATATTTTGATTGGTGTTATAAATCCCAGTATTTTCTCAAACACACACACATATGTATTTATATATTGTGAAATTTTTGCATAGTTAGGTTTGAGGTAAGGCTACGCAAAGTATTTTGTTTATATTAAGAGAACTCTTCCAATACAGGATAAGAGTTAAATGAAACATGTTTCGATTCATAGATATGAAAAAAAAGTCATATTGACTGAAGTTCAAAACACGAATTATCATTGATAGATTCGAAGAAAAATTATCATTGATAGATTCGGGGAAAACCGAAAAACAAACCGGCCTCTGAAACACAATTTTGAGTCAGAACGGGTACGAGTGAGGGGGGGAAGGGCTTGTGAGGCCGTGCCTGGGTCAGTACGGCGGGAGCAGGCACGAGAATCAGGTTACGTGCTAATGAACAGAATGACTAATTGCCGCGGCTAATGCTGTTCACCTTTAACCAATCACTCTCTCTTTACCTCTTCTCCATATTTGTTTTCCAACAAACAGTGTATGTTATGTAGTATAATTGTAAGGCATAATAACCTCTCCTACGAATGGAATATAAAACAGAGACAATTTTGCACAATTTTAAAAGCTGACACACAACACTACCAGCGACAGGAACGGTTGCTATATATATATATTCCTCGTTACTGCTGACGACCTATATATCCCGTTCCACTATCAGGGACACTGAGTGGAGGAGGAACAGGGGCTGCGCCCCCACCATTATCCACACGCCTCAATGGGATCTGAATACACCATCAACCGCATATTGACGACTCGATCAGTTCTGCCATTGTTAATGGAGTGGTAGAAGACAGAATGGCCGAGTATCCCCTGCTGGATATATGTATTAACAAGTTACCTATCATTGTAATTTATTGCGAAGGGTATGCCATTAGTTGCCTGTGCATTAAGTGACTTTAACTAAGACACATGATCAAGTATTAGTTCCCTTTCCCACCTGCTCCAGGACCTTCTGCCTGCTTATAGCTGTAAAGAGATGCACATAAATCACTGGCATTGCATTTTTGGTTTATTTTGATAACTACAAAATATAAAGTGGTCACGTTGATTTCGCAAAGTGTCACGTGTACACATGTAGAATATGGAGTGGTATGGAATATGGTGTGGAGTGGTAGCAGTGGTATATATATACATATATATATATATATATATATATATATATATATATATATATATATATATATATATATATATATATATATATATATATATATTGTGACGGTAAAGCGTTGGTGTTCGGCTGTTTCAAAAGCTAGGGGCAGGGCCTCGTCACATAAAAGAAAAAAAAAGAGAAAAGCTGGAGCTTTCGTCTGTGGTAAGGTAATGGGAAGACACACAAAACACAAGTAAATTAACAATGAAAGTTGTATTACTTTAGAAAAACAAGACATGAATAAAGTTAAGCACATAAAATATAAAAGACAAGTCAACAAACAAAATAATATGAATAATCACTGGCAAATGAAAATTTACGTTAAGACAAGTGAGTTACAGTGATAGCAAAATAAAGTATTAATGGAGCTGGAATATTGGCTTCGAGCTGCCACCTCCCTTAGTACACGAAAGCCAAGGCTTAGTCTACCAGCGAGAGATGTCAACTGCAAGGAGCACTGAGATATTCTGACGATACTGGAGCACTGCAGCCCAGACATCGACTTGTGGCGGAGGGCAGAGGGCAGGTGCGACGGGACACCAGCCAATCAGCAACAGGCAGGCAAGGACGAGCAGTTTGCTGGTTACGGCGGTGGTAGCTAGCAGGTGTCACTGTGTGCTGGGTACGATTTGCTCTCTGGGCAAAACGTTTGGCGATACTTGCTGGACGTATCTTCTATATTATCTTGTATATTTACGTACTTTGTAGGGAAGAGCAGGCTCAATCTCTCTTGAAAGAGATTATCGTCACAATATATATATATATATATATATATATATATATATATATATATATATATATATATATATATATATATATATATAAAGTTGTTGGTCAAATACCCTTTTTTCAGTAACTCGGAGATATAAATGCCTTATACTCTCCAGGTAATCAAAAAGAACCTAAATCACAAGCTCTCTCAAAATCTCTCACGCATTCAAAGTCACTCCCCACAGCGTCCATAAACGCTCACAACCACAACTACAACCTCTCGGCTCCTAGAACCAAGCCTCACAGTGCCTATAAACTACCGTGTGAAGCAGGGAACGACGCCTCCCCAAGACAGACGCCTCACAGCGACCATAAACTACCGTGTGAAGCAGGGAACGACGCCTCCCCAAGACAGACGCCTCACAGCGACCATAAACTACCGTGTGAAGCAGGGGACGACGCCTCCCCAAGACAGACGCCTCACAGCGACCATAAACTACCGTATGAAGCAGGGGACGACGCCTCCCCAAGACAGACGCCTCACAGCGACCATAAACTACCGTATGAAGCAGGGAACGACGCCTCCCCAAGACAGACGCCACTAGACACAACAAGATATTGTCAGCGGAGAACCCAGAAAAAGCCACAGCGAGGTCACTGACAATCGAATGACCACATCTGGAGTTTGAGGCGAGGGAGAGAAGAGGGGAAAGGATCGTTAGTGCCACTTCTGCCTGAGGGGAAGCCGTGTAGACTTGTTGACTCGCGAGTCTTGATGTTATCAGGAGGACGGCTACCGAGGGAGCCGTGTCAGACGAGACATTTATAGAATGCAAACTTGTAAACAACAACAATATGCAAGAAAGGGCTTCTCTTTGTCCCGTAAACACTCATATATACATATACACTGTCCCATGTATAGTGGAATTTGTATGTACATTCATTTCTTGTCCTATCATCCGTCTTCTGTTAAGAAAAGTGTTCTCTCATCACCCTCTTGCTCTAGGCCCTAAACTCTTCAGTGACCCTCAGTTTCTCGATTCTGAAATTTCTCTTTTGCAAGTCTTGGCGGATACCCTGACTGCTGGACCCCTTTGTCACTGCTTTTGCAAGTCTTGGCGGATACCCTGACTGCTGGACCCCTTTGTCACTGCTTTTGCAAGTCTTGGCGGATACCCTGACTGCTGGACCCCTTTGTCACTGCTTTTGCAAGTCTTGGCGGATACCCTGACTGCTGGACCCCTTTGTCACTGTTCAATAAATCACTGAACTATATGTTGACTAGATCTCTACTCCTATCCATGGAGAACAGAAGAAAATGTATTTATATATATGCTAGTGAGCATTTTAAATGTGGGGCCATGTCTGTGGTAGAAAATAATAATAGAAAATAAAGCTGCCTGGAGTTCTAAAGCTCATCAAAGAAGCTTTGTTTGGCGGCGAGGAGATGGTCACTGGTGAATAAGAGGCACTACGGGCTCGCCATAGCCCGTGCTACTTGGAACTTTTTGTTCCAAGTAGCGAATCTTAAACAACAACAACTGGTGAATGCTAGCGGCCTCGGCTCTGTCTTCATACTGAATAAACGTATAGCAACTCTCATAGCATCATCATGCTGCTTGAACTATGGGCTCTCAATACAGACCAAACACGCTAGGTCTTATAATGACACTAAGCTGATGTGTACCATGCTGTTCACTGTGAGCATTAGGTTTAGCTTCCCGGCCCCTGTGTACATGCTTCAGTTTTCCAACTTGCAACATTAAGTCAGCAGTAATAACCTGTTACATTCTTTAATATGTGTCTCTACAATAGCCAGGATTTATTGATGCAGGTGTCTCCACAACATCCAAGCTTCAATAATAAAGGTGTTTCTACAACAGCCGGATTTGAGTGATGTAGGTGCCACTACTTATAACATTGGTTGCCACAACCATTATTGAATTTCACTTCCTTCGATGTTCCATGGTGACAAAAAAGGTATGGAAGGATCTATTGTATGAAGATTTGCTGAAGAAAACTAAGCTGTGGGAACACGCAAAAGAAATTAATTTAGTTTGCCATTATCTTTCTCAGTATGACTTTAATTGGTAGTACTGTAACTTTTTTCTGCATTTAAGTAATCTATGAGAAAAGCTGATATTTATAACAAAATAAGTAAGACTAAATTATGTGTAATTCCTCAGCATTGTTGAAACCTGCTATGCTTGCAGAGACCGTTGTTGAAACCTGTTATGCTTGCAGAGACCGTTGTTGAAACCTGCTATGCTTGCAGAGGCCGTTGTTGAAACCTGCTATGCTTGCAGAGACCGTAGTTGAAACCTGCTATGCTTGCAGAGAACGTCGCTGAAACCTGCTATGCTTGCAGAGACCGTTGTTGAAACCTGCTATGCTTGCAGAGAACGTCGCTGAAACCTGCTATGCTTGCAGAGGCCGTCGTTGAAACCTGCTATGCTTGCAGAGGCCGTTGTTGAAACCTGCTATGCTTGCAGAGGCCGTTGTTGAAACCTGCTATGCTTGCAGAGGCCGTTGTTGAAACCTGCTATGCTTGCAGAGGCCGTTGTTGAAACCTGCTATGCTTGCAGAGGCCGTTGTTGAAACCTGCTATGCTTGCAGAGACCGTAGTTGAAACCTGCTATGCTGTGTGAAGACTTGAATAAAAGCTCATTAATTTCCTTTTTAATGTGGAGTGAAGAAAGAAGATAAATACAAGTAGATAAAATAATAATCAATAATAAAAGTTTGTGTGATTACATGAATTAACTTTTAGTAATTTCTTCACGTTCTTGTTCCTTCTTCTTCCTGATTCCCCGTTATCTTTCTCCACTCATTTTCTCCTCCTTTCTTCTGAATTTCTTCTTCAATGTTTCATCTTTCTTCAATTTATTTGTACTTATTTGTTGCCAGCCCTCTCGGCGTCATACCTGGCTGCCATTAACGGTTTCGCGGAAGGACATAATCCGAGGGAAGTGACCCAGGAACAATATTTATATCCGTCTGTTAGGGATTTATGTCTCTTGGTTACACGTGACGAGGGAGGAGAGCTGGCGGGGTGGGTGGCGCCTGTGAGCGCCCCCTGGTTCTTGGCGGGAAACCGCCCCCTGGTTCCTGGCGGGGAACCGTCCCCCTGGTTCCTGGCGGGAAACCGTCCCCCTGGTTCCTGGCGGGGAACCGTCCCCCTGGTTCCTGGCGGGGAACCGTCCCCCTGGTTCCTGGCGGGTAACCGTCCCCCTGGTTCCTGGCGGGGAACCGTCCCCTTGGTTCCTGGCGGGTAACCGTCCCCTTGGTTCCTGGCGGGGAACCGTCCCCTTGGTTCCTGGCGGGTAACCGTCCCCCTGGTTCCTGGCGGGGAACCGTCCCCCTGGTTCCTGGCGGGGAACCGTCCCCCTGGTTCCTGGCGGGGAACCGTCCCCCTGGTTCCTGGCGGGGAACCGTCCCCCTGGTTCCTGGCGGGGAACCGTCCCCCTGGTTCCTGGCGGGGAACCGTCCCCCTGGTTCCTGGCGGGGAACCGTCCCCCTGGTTCTTATATACTTGTCACTGTGGCTCGGCCTCCAACCTGTCTGTTGCGCTGGCGCTTGTGTGCGTGCTTGTGCCCGCTCTGAGGTCATAGGTCTCTCTTTTTTCTTTATTTTTTTCTTTAGTAATTGCGTATTGAAATCGTTACAATTCAGGCTGGACTGAACAAGAGTAAAGCAGTGTAGCTCGAGCTTAGATTTTTTGGCAAGTTAAAATATATTTAGTTTAGAATTGAAGAGGAGATTTATATTGGCACACTGTGTTGTATTAATGACATCTGGAGTAATAAAATGAAGAGAATCCAATTAATTTCTGTATAAAAACGTGGTTAGCAAAAAAGGAGGCAGCTGCCAGCTTTGCCTTCTCTTGCGCGGCCTCTGAAGGTCGCTGTAGTCAAGCCCGGTTAAAAAATTATTCCTCATACACATCTCTGACTAGTCTCAAGGGTCAACATATGACCTAATGTTGACTACATCACTTGACCTAGCCTCTACCCCCACGCTTTCTCACTAGCTGTTATTCCCTGGCTTTTGTTAGTCTCTTTTTTTCTAACATTCACCCCAACCAGGAGGCCTGGTCGACGACCGGGCCGCGGGGACACTAAGCCCCGGAAGCACCTCAAGGTAACCTCAAGGTAACCACCTAAGATATTTTTGTTAAACTCATTGAAACAGTTTTTATTTTTGTAATATGTAAATCATATTATTATTGAAATATCTACTGGTGTTCATTATGAACACCTTTGTTCACGAAAATTATCCACACAACGAAGAGCTGGAACTCTTGGTTTTGTGGATAACCGAGACTCAATAGAAAGAAACTCTTGGGTGCAATAAATGCAGTAATGGAAACAGCTTCTCTGCTTGCACTCTAAAAGCCAACTCTCCACAGAAAGGGTTTCGCCCAAAACAATTAAGCTTCGGCTCTTGCGGATGTTTAACTTGGCAGCTTCTTTTCATCAGTGATGCGCACTGATAACATTACTTGAGCTGCTTCCAAAAAAAGTGACTAGTTTCTTTTTTTTTAAATTTGCAAAAAAAATACTTTGGCTTCATGTTTACGACAGAAATTAATATATGCTCATGTTTTCCAGGTATTGCCTTATAAGTTTAACAACATTGGTGTTAATTAAATATATACATCATTTACCTTTGATTATTTTTACAATTTTTTTATAATATAATTTATTAGCTCTTTAATTGGTCCTGCTCAGGAGATATACACCGAGAGGCTATAAACCCAGCTTCTCTGTATAAATACACTGAGAGTATACTTCAGTCCAGGACTATGTTTAGGAGTAAAGTATACTTACTGGTAGGTCAGTAAGCACTTGTGGTGGGCTATATAACCCTCGAAGTTGATAGGCCTAAATCTGAAACTGTGTATGGCGTTTCATTACTAATGCATTACGTTAGTGAACTACTCTGACGCTCTCGGCTCACAATCCAAATGACCAGGATTACCCAACCTAACCTAGCCTTACCTACCACAACCTAGCCTAACCTAACTTTGTCTAACCTGGCCTACCTAACTTTGCTTAACTTAGTCTAACCTAACTGTGTCTAACCTAGCCTTATCTACCACAACCTAGCCTAACATAAACATATCTAACCTAGCCGTGACTATCCCAACCTAACCTTACATTTCCAAATCTAAATCCAACCCATCCCCCCCTTCTCCTCTTCCCCCATCTCCAGCTTAGCCAAATTTCCAGAGTGAACAATACCGCGCTTGGGTCTCTTTAGGAATTTGGGATGATATTCGTGGAAACAAAGGCACAAAGTAATTACTCTCAGCTGTTAAACCAATAATTAACTTACAGACACAAGTGAAGCGGATCACATTGGAAGATAATTCGGACACATGGTGTTAAAATGGTTCTAATTATTGGACAGTTACACATTATATAATCTCTTTAAGCCAGATTATATTATATATAATTAGAATGGTTACTGTAACTTACTTTTCTGTAAAATAATGTACTGAAATTCTGTGTGAATTTAATAATAATTGTACGGCCATTCACGATTAATTAAGTTTGTTTGATTTACTAATCAAATTTTTTCCATTCAGTTTTTTTGCTTTTTTTTTAATTTTATATATGAAAGATAGTTAAATAAAACCATTATACAAAAGAGTTGTTG